CAAGCACATGCTGTTGTTTTCATTGCTGCTAGTGTTTTCTATAGAAGCTGATTTTGTCAAATTTTCTGGTGTTTCAGCTACAATATTGTGATAAGTAGTATTTGTGAATCTATCTCAATAACTTTTTTGAGAATGAGGTAATAATTAAAGGAAAAGAAAGAGAAAAATAAAAAAAGCTTCCACTCAGTTGCTAATAATGTTGTAACTACTAATGTTGTAATTTAATGCAGAAAGATTTTACAAAACAATTTTGTTGTTAGTATTCACACGATCTTAGAAATATTACATTTAAGCAATTTACAACTATATCACATATTATTCTATGATTAAAATTGATAATAAACTTACATGTATAAAATATTGGTTATGTAACTCTTTGATAACTAAATAGAGAAACTGACAGTTTAAAACATGAAGTGGGGGCAATGCTAGGTTTCTTCATACATGTTTAGAAATATAACTTAAATCTTAAATTCAGTATTTTAAAAGTTTTTAGTCTTTAAAATTTTCTTTAAAAACATCACTTTCTTGCAAATATATATCTGATTTTAATGAAATTTTCCATTTATGGTTGAATTATGGTTTTAAAAAAATAGTGACCCGTTAGAATTAACATTTGCTAGAGCTAACATATCCAATAGATTTACATTTCCATTTTCTTATTTGTTTTCAAATATTGCTAATTTATCTTTTTTTTTTTTATTGTGCAGGGATATTCTGTCATGCCACATGGAGTGCATAAAGCAAAGAGGCCAAGTGGATGCCAGTAGAGACCAGCAAATGAAGCAAGAATTAAATCACTGAACACACTTGCTGGATCCATGCTTCAATCTGTCAAAAGACCAGATGCTGGCCAGGGTTCATCAGAAGACTCTGCTCGTCAGTCTCCAATTGATCAAGCTGATTCTTCTGATGCCAGCATGCATCTTGCAGCAGAGCAAAGAGGGGAAATGGCAGAATTTGAAGCAGAAGAGAATGCTGAAAGTGACTCCAGTCATGATTCTGTAAATGAAATGAGTGACTTTAAGAAGAAAGATTTGCAAGTTTTGTGTGATGTTTCTTTCTGAGAGATCCTAATTCCAGGTAATATTTGGGTTGAAATTATCAAAAGCAGACGTGCTTTTTTCCAGAAGAAAGATAGGCCTTTCAGGGTCACGGCAAGGCAAGATGCAAAAGCAAAAGGAGATTTGCGTGAGTTTCAAAAGAGTGGTTTTACAAGGTGATGCCAAATGGGGAGAAATTCTGCAGTCAGGGATGGTTTACTCACTCGTCAGAAGAATTTATACTGTTTTTGCTGCCGACTGTTTGCTGCCAGTGCTACAGATATGACATCCAAATTCGTGACTGGGTTTCCAAAGTGATGAAAACTGAGCCCAAAAGTACATAACCACGAGACATCCGAAGACCATCTATATTGCCTTGAAAAGTGGAAAACATAGGTGGCAGGACCGAGGCTGCACGAAACCATTGATGCCAAAACTATTGCTTTGATGGAAATGGAGAAGAAAAGGTGAGGGACATAGGACACGGATGGCTCCATATCACGGTGTTTGTTGCCAAACAGAACCTGACCTTCCATACCACAGGAAGAGGAACCTTCACTGAATAAAGGGAACTTTCTTGGGATGGTTGAGATGTTTTCAGAATATGGTCCAGTACTGAAAGAGTGCCTAATGAGATTAAAGGAGAGCACATGTCAACGTAAATATCAGCCTCTTATCACGCACCAAAAACTCAGAATGAGTTTATAAGCGCCTGAGCCCTGGTGGCGCAGTGATTAAGTCATGATTAACAACACTTTTCTCTTTTTTTTTTAAATATGAGAGATGATATATAAAGTGCACTGACTTTAAATGTGCAGTTGAGTGAAAATTTACCTATGTATATATCCATGCAGCTACCAGCCATTCGGAGATACAGACTATTTCTAGCACCACCAAGGGTTGCTTTGTTCTCTTTGCCTATCAATCATTATTTCTCAGCCCCTAGACAGCCACTATTCTCATTTCTAACTCCGTAAATTGTGTTGTCTGTTCTTGAACATGGCATAAATGGAATCAGACAGTAGGCACCCATGTGTCTACATTCATTCACTCAGCAGTACATCTGTGAGGTTTTCATTGCTAATGTCCAATTATATTTTATGAATACATGACAATTTGTCAATTCTTCTACTCTTGGT